CTTTAATATGCATTTAGTAAAAAGTTGTTATTTTGACATTACAAACAGACACTTCAACTTTATTCATTTGTATAGATATAACCTACTATGTATATATCAGTCTGGGTTTCGCCCTGGTCATACTACCAATAACGTCACAGATGATATTACACAAGAAATAGAAGAAAAAAATAACAGTACTGGTTACTAGTTGATTTCTCAAATGGTTTTAACACAGTTAATCATGAAATCCTGAACGCTATACTCTCATCTAAATTTTAGCCCACTGCATTGGAATGGTTTGCACCTTATCTTCGCGGTCAACAGCAGTCTGTCTGCGTGGGACAAATGACCTCATGATGCGGTATGATATGGAGGCTGGTCTACTGCAAGGCGGTATACTATCTCTTATATTTTTTCAATTTTTATAAACTTTATTGCCTCCATCTTCAATTGCACATACCATTGCTGATGAAGTTGAGCTATATGTACCTATGTACAAGCTGAAATTGGGAATATCCATAATGAGATTAAAAAAACTAAACGACAACTTTTTTTATAGAAATAGGGTGGCAAACGAGCACACAGTCCACCTGACGGTAAGTGGTTGCTGAGGCCAATAGACATCTACATCTATCCCCGTTTGCGAATTAAAATGCAGATGCGTTGTCAGCCTTAACCCTTTATAAGGCATAAGCATCTAGGGGTGGATAAGTAAAACTGTTGATGGTTTTAGACTATTTTTATTATGGTTTTTCACAAAATGCAAATAAGAAATTCAAAAATTTAAAAAAACACGGTGGTAAATATTTTCCCGCTGCCCGTGACGCCTTAACTAGCCTTTCCTATGAAATGCAGTAAAACATGGTGTTATGCAGAGCGGAACTTTGCATTTTTCACATATAACTTTCGATCTTTTGTCTTTTTCTTTTGTGCTACACATTCTGCAACGTTTATATGAAGGCGATTCAACGGGCATATGGTCTCCAACGTTGGTGAAACGAACTTCCTCTGCGACAACATGCACTGCCTTTTGGCGATTCTCAGAAGCAATTTTTTTTCTGCAGATATAGTTGACTAAACTACCAGATCGTCGTTTTCTACTGGAAAACCCACTGATCAGTCCTCTAGCGACAGAGACTCGAAATTCAAGATTGCTTAGTTTTGTCGCATTCTTATTTTGGCAATATAACAAGTATGCATTTGTTATACTTGTATCTAAAAGGAAAAAGAATATTCGGACCCACCATCTCCTACTTCTTCTGCCTACTGAATAGGTACTTTTTATCTGATCAAAGTGATCAACGCCTCCCATCCTTTTAGTATACTCCTTTATTGCTAACGGGCAGTTGATTTCTTGTTTTGTGCCGTCTTTCTGAGTCCGTAAGACAGTGGTTTTGCCAACTTTTGGATGGAATGCATTACTCAATAGGAGAACCTCTTTGGTATCTTGCCAAACTAAGAAAGATACATTTCCCTTGACTCTCCATTTATATTGTCCTTTTGCAAGCTTCTGATTCGTTTTTACAAGTACAGGCAGATGTTTTCTGTGTCTTCGTACAGTTCCTGTAGCATAAATGCCATTTTCATATAGATATTGCATTAGAGTGTAGTCACAGAAGAAATTGTCAAATGTAATAATAATATGATATTCCTCCAGTGCTTTATTTATCAGCTTTTCAGTCAACATCTTCACAACTTTGGATCCTAGTCCTTCCTCTGTTCCGGTTTTTGATTTTCCAGTGTATATGTAGAATTCATAGAGATACCCAGTTTTACTGTCACAGCGACACCATACCTTGTAACCTCTTTTTATGGGCTTTAGAGGCATATACTGTTTCATGGAAGACCGGCCTTTGAAGAGAATCATCGATTCATCAATACTTTGGGATGAGGAGTCTTTGGCATTTTTCTGACATGCCTGAGTGATAAGATCCAATAATGGGCGTATTTTGTAAAGTTTGTCATAGTTCTCGCTTGTCTTATCTGGTATCTGTGTATTATCATTCACGTGCAGATTTCGCAATATCTTCTTGAATCGCTTTACGGTCATAGTCTCTGCTATTTCATCTACCCTGAAACCAGGGTCGGAAGACCAATAAAGGTCAATAGAAGGCAGAATATTGTATCCCATTATTATAAAAATCCCTACAAAGGCCTTCAGTTCTTTTTTATCTAATTGTGTCCATCCTTCATCTTTCCTTTGCTCTGCATATAAGTTTGTTTGATATATTATCAAATCGTAGACTTCATTAGTGAAGAATTTTTCAAATACAGTTACAGGTCTAGTACGGCTGCTAAACATAATTGCCGGTTCCATCGGAATTTCATCGTAAACGCTAGGACTTGGCCGATCAGTTGTCCACATAGTTTTTTTCCATGTTTCCTCTTCGCCGTCTGAATCATCTGTTTCCGAATCTGAGTTAGTATTTGCTACTGGTGATTGTGGTTGTCGCCGTAAGGTCTGTTGAGTGCCAGAAGTACTGGGTGCATTTTGGATTATTCTTGCCCGCCTAAGCCGGTCACTGTTGGTTGGTTGAGGTGATGGACTAGGTTGGTTTTCAACAGACGCATTACTTATATTACTAATAAGACTATCAGGTGGATCAGGTGTGGGTGCTAGAATTCCATCATGAGGCTCATCAAGGCTCTCTAAAATTCTTTGAAGTTTCACTGTACTGTACTGCACATCTTCTTCATCGGATTCCAAATTATCATCTGACACATCGGGATCATCAGGTAAACCAAAAATCTCTTCTAATGCACAAGCTATTTCCAAGTCATTCAGTGCCTTTTCATTCATTTTCAAAATATAAATCTGTAACAACCAATACATACTGTCAGCTCCACGGGCAAAGGGAACATTTTTACCACCACAAAAAGCCCCTACTAACAAAATCTGCAAAATGTAGAATTGAAAATATGCTTGAATATCAATGAAATATACAATAAGCTTTAGAAATAATAACAACTTACCGTTCATGAGTCGCAGATATAAAAGATTTATAAAGATTTTAGAAGTCGTACCGAAACACACCCGATTTCAGTCTTCCAAACGTCACAGTGTAAAATCTAAAATGGCGACGTGTCATTACCATAGATGAAAAATGTTGACCGGATATCCATAAAAATGTTGCCAATAGGAAAAAATCTTTCCCTAAAATTTGCTTAACTAATAATGTGAAAATTAGTGGTGGGAAATATATTCCCGCTGCCTTAAAAAGGGTTAAGGACTAAGATGGAATGCCTCCTTTCCAGTAAAATGGGTCTCCGGTTCTCTACACTCACCATACGGAACACAGCAGCATTAAGCTGCTATTTTACGCTGGTATCCTGTGAGAGCGTGGTCCTTCCCCGGTCGAGCCGACCCATTCGTGCTACAACTGTACTATAAATATAGCTGCAGCATGGCTCTACCACGTAGAAAAGATACCACTTATCAGCTATCAAAGATACGTCTACTTGTTATGGAGTTTTAGTCAATCCTCTGAAATGCTAAGCTATACTGGTGAATACCTCAAGGATGCTAGCTAAGTTTAATCTTGCAGTCTTACCTTCTATTAGAATATAATAGAATAGAATAATTTTTATTCAATATTGATTACAAGTAATTCTTATTGAAAGTCATTTTTTACTTTACCACTGGTTTGAAAAAACCTCTGTCCTGGGAAGAACCAGCAAGAAACCTAGCAGGACGTTTTTTGTTGGTTACAAACTATTTACAAAATTTATTTTTGAAACAGCTCGGAAGCGACCACCTCATCATTCCCAGGGGTTATTATCAACCATGTATTCATTTATATTATAAAAAAAATAACCCTTTTTATACAGTTTTTGTTTAATTAGATATTTAAATTTGGTAATAGAGAGACCTTGTATATTTTCTCGGACTTTGTTGTAATAGCGTATACATTGCCCCAAGAAAGAATTACTGACTCTGTGGAGTCGAGAGACTGGTATCACTAGCTTGTGTTTGTTCCTAGTGTTTACAGAGTGTATATCACTTATTATTACAAAAACTATCTTTGTTTTTGTGAACATACAATAAATTTTCGTAAATATACTGAGAGGCCTAAGTTAATACATTTATTTCTTTAAAATTTTCTCTAAGTGACTCTCTCGGTTTAAGGTTGTAAATAGCTCTTATGGTCCTCTTTTTCAAAACAAAAATAGTATCTAAATCAGCCGCATTTTCCCATGGCAAAATCCCATAAGACATTATTCTATGGAAATAACTCAAATAAAGTAATCTAGCTGTCTCTACACTAGTGAGACCTCTAATACCTCTAATCTTTTTTACTGCATAGGCTGCAGAGCTTAGTCTGCTTGTTAGTTTGGATATATGGGGGCCTACAATGAAGCTTTGCGTCGTTAGTGATGCCAAGAAAAACGGAGGTTGCAACAAGGCTCAGTTCTTCCCCATTTAAAAACACATTGGTATTCAGATAGAGAGATAGTCATTCATTTGCTTTTTCCTCATTATTTTTTTCTTTGGCGTCGTTTATTACCGCACAATGGAAAACATGAAATATCGGTATATTTACGAGCACGAGTTCTACAGTGACACCAGTGCTGCAGAAACAGCTCGAAGGATTAATTATGTGTACGGTGCTGGTGTCGCAAAAGAAAGCACGTTACGTTTTTGGTTTCAACGTTTTCGTTCTGGAAATTTCGACCTTCATAACCAATCCCGTGGACGGCTGGAGACCAAAGTGGAAAATGAAGAATTAAAGACTATTGTGGAAGCGGGTCCATCACAAAGCACTTCAGAGATAGCTGCAGGCTTCTTCAAGACCGGACATTATATTTGAATCAAGTCAGTATGTCAAGCTATGAACTGTGTTTACGGGCTAGTGATGAATATCACTGTAGTAAGTATATATATACTCTAGTAGTATGTACAATATTCTTTGGTTGAGAATGGAAAATAATAAAACAGACTTAGAGATAATTGATTTTTGTTTTAAATTACATTATTCACAGCAAAATAACAATAATACTACAATAAGAATGTCCAATAATTAGCACGATTGGAAGAGACCCTTCTGGCGCATCTCTTCGAATTCTTTCTCGGCGTCGTAATTCCTGAAACAAAATATTAAGCATCCTTTATAAGCAATGTGTAAATAAATGTACAATGTAGATCGTAGTTACAATTCATTATATAATAATAATAATGTTCTCCAGCGCAAATTTCGGTCACAGCAGCCAGTCTCAACGGAGCCATCTATCTGCGCAGGACAGGATTATAGTGCCCGAGGATATGCGCAAGCACAAGTGCAATCTCTATTCCCTCACTCTCATAGTCCGACCGGAGAGAGACAGGCGCAGGACTTAAGGTGAAAGCGCCAGGGTAGGCCGCGAAATTCAAATTTTTTGCAATTCGCAGATCAGTGTCAGGTTGCATGTTTAACAAAATATGATTCGCGACCGTAACGAGTATGTATTTACAGAATTATAATCATTATAATCATCAACACAACCTTCAAAGTGGGTGTAATGCCAATGTATAACTATTTCCAGAAAAGCCCATTCAAAGGGATTATACTCGTATGAACTTGGGGGGGTATTGGCGATTTTAATGGTAATAATTCTGTAAACACATACTAGTTACGGTCGCGAATCATATTTTGTTAAACATACAACCTGACCCTGAATTGAATACCAAAATACTTAAGAAAATTTGAATTTCGTGAGCCACCCTGGCGCTTTCACCTTAAGGCTTTTACGTATTTTCCGAGGCACGAGGGTGAAACACTGCCAACTTCCTGACTCCAGGCGGCTACTTAGAATTTCTTGACAGAAAAACCCAATAACCGATTTTGGCCCGACCCGGCCATGATTCGAACCCCCATGATCAGCAACCGTTTTTACGTAAACTAGACCAACGAGGCAGTCAACAAGTCAAATTCACATTAATCACAATGATTAACATACCTATTTAAACTTTACATATATATACTTCGGATTTTATCGCGTTTAATTAAGATATTTAATTAAGATATTTATAGAATATAAAATATCTTAATTAAACGCGATAAAATCCGTAAAAGTAGTTTTATTCAATTTACATATACCTAGTCAGGTCATAAATTCTGTCACATGTTTAATATGAAATAATTGAAACAAGTTTATTCATTATGTAACCATTTATATACCAAAATGAACTTAACAAAACATAGATTCTTATGACACTAAAGTTTATTCAAAATGACCTCCGTGATTTTGAATACAGGCCTTCAATCTGCGCGGCCAGTCGTCTATCGCAGCACGAACGAGGTCCATGTCAATATCGGCGGCTGCCTTAATCAAGAATGTCTTGAGTGACTCCAAATTGGGATGAGGCTTTGAGCACGCCTTTTCCTCCAAGTGTTGCCATATCTTGTAATTCAAATCTGGACTGGAGGAGGGCCAGTCTTCGTGCCGGATGAAGTCGATTTCACGCGCCGCCAGCCAGTCTTGTGTGCTCTTCGCTCTATGAGCTGGCGCCAAATCTTGTTGGAATACCCAGTGCCTGTTATTGAACATGGTATGAGAAACAGGTTCCACAAGGTTCGTCAGGACTGTATTTTGATACACAACTGCATTCGTTTTTACACCTTTCTCACAAAAATGTACCTCTGTTAAGCCCCAATAAGAAACTCCCAACCATACCATGATCGAGGATGGAAAATTATCTCGTTGGACACGCGGAATACGATTGCTCGCTTCTTCACTACTGTGTGCGTACACCTTATCATTTTGTTTGTTGTAGTTCTCTTCTACGGTAAAAATTTTTTCATCCGAAAAAAGAATTTCCCGATATTTTTTCCCGCGTACTGCTTCAACAAAGCGCGGCATCTCTTCAGTCTCAGGTCCATTAGACGAACATTCAAACGATGTCCTGTTTTTCTTCGATATGCCCGAAGCCCTAAGTCTTCATTTAACATCCTTTTCACCGTGGTTCTGCTTAACCCCATCTGAAGGGCCAACAGTTTCTGCTTACGTTTGGGATTTCTTTGAATTCGCGATTCGCGCCTTCACAGCTTTTATACTGCTGGAGTCCTAACAGACCGAGGGCGACCACTTCTTGACCTGTCATCTACACTAGAGTCTTCATTGTATCGTTTGATGGTACGATAAACGAATCTTTTGGTTATATTCAAATTTTTCAGTATGTCAAAAATTTGAATTGGCGCGTAACCGCAACTATGCAACACAATAACTGCAACACGGTCTGCTTTAAGCGTCCACTCCATATTTAAAAATGAGTAAAATTCTAAAAAGTATACAGTTCTATTTTCATGAACAATTCGAAATTCGAATTCAATAAACTTTTTTGTGGCCAGCATTCTAAAAGAAAAGTTTTTACTGTGTGACAATACTTATGACCTGACTAGGTATATATTATAATATATATATATAAGCGTCAGTAGCCTAATGGCATGGCGCGGACAGCGAATCCGAAAGGTCGTGGGTTCGAATCCGCCATTCGACTACTGTCGTGAACCACTTCTAACACAAGCATTTTAAGCTTACCAGAAGTGGTTAAAGGGAATATTAATAATGTTTAAAAGCATTACTAGTATTTTTTTTAAAATAGAAAATAAGTATTTATTTTTGAGCTCTATGTTATCCTCGCTAAGCAGATAAAATCATCTGCAGTTGTACCTATTAAAAATAACCTTCCGATTTTGCAATACCGCAATTGGATAAAAAGTAGCTTATTATGTTATAAAGGGTTCGATTATTACCTCCATATATCATGGTTATCTATCAAGTAGTTTTTGTTACCTTAACCTTGAACCTGCCTGCAAATGTAGAGTTTAAACTAGTAGTACTTCAAATTAGTAGTATTGAAATGAAAACCAATAAATTTGGAAAATATCTATGCCATAGGCTTCTACTTCGTTTATTTAATACAATTTTACACATGGTAGAGCCATGCTGCAGCTATATTTATACGTGATAGAGTCATGCTGCAGCTGTATTAGTAGTATAGTTGTAGCACGAATGGGTCGGCTCGACCGGGGAAGGACCACGTTCTCACAGAATACCAGCGTAAAATAGCAGCTTACTTAACACTGCTGTGTTTCGTATAGTGAGTGTAAAGAACTGAAGACCCATTTCTCTGCAAAAGAGGCATTCCATCTTAGTCCTCATGGGTGACAACGCAACTGCATTCTGATTCTTTATTAAGGACAAATGTAGATGTGTATGGGTCACATCAACCACTTACTATCAGGTGGACTGTACTGTAAGAATTATACAAATATAATGTATGGTGGAATTGTTTCTCCTGAATAATTCTGCGACAGTAAATATCTATCTTTTACGTGTAAACCATTATTACCAAAATAGTGAACCACAAATAAAATAAAATTTGATACTTTATTTCCAATGCACATTTTGTGGTAACAAATGGATTTTATCAAAATAAATAAAAAAGCTTTTGTCTTTTAAACTACGTAATTTGGTCAAATATTTTAAAAGTAATGACGATATAAAATTGTGCGGACCGGAACGCGCACGGCGGTCGGACGTTCGGGCGATCCGGCGTACTGCGCTTAGATAATATACTATGGTACTGCGGGTGAGATAGGGGAAAACATCGCTCATCACCGTCGCCACGTGAGCAAATGTACCTCTTCACGCTTAAACCGCTGAACCGATTTAGATGAAATTTGGTATAGTGAAAGTTTAAAAGTTTCTCCCGGGGAAGAAAATAGGATAGCTTTGATTTGAGCTAAAGAGGGTGATGGAATTTACTACGAAATTGCGATTATTAATGGATCACCTATGGTTTAAAGTATAATATCTACGCGGACGAAGTCGCGTACAAAAGCTAGTTATTAATAAAACTAGTTTTTATGCACGAAATCCGCAAAAACTAGTTTTATTTAAATGAAACATTTTATTCTTACTAAATCATTTTAGAAGTATATAAATCAACTCAAGATTTTATTTTAAGTAGTCTTTTCAGACTGTTTAATGCATCCATTTTATAATAATCCTACTCAAGGCTAGGACACTGATTAGTGATTACAATTAAAAGTATGTTTATGAAGCTCTCCCTGCTTGAAATTAGAACTCACCTATAGAACTCGGCATAACGCCTCTTGCGTTCATTAGCAACCAGCTGCTTGAATGCAAAGCCAGAAATACCAGCCATAGTTATAGCCACAATCAAGTTGCGTTTGATGATAGCATTGAGGAGACCCCGCATCTGGGGCTTGGCGACGGTCGACACAGCCTTGTCTGCCATCTATATAAGTTACCAAAACACATTTGATTTTAAGAAATATGCAGTAAATTATTAAAGTCATATAAAGACATTCATACATTTTATAGTTTAAATTTTTTTAGTATGAAAATCCTAAAATGAGTAGCACCAAATATTTTCATTTGTACTTATTTTATGCTAAACAAATAAGGTGTAAGAAAAATAATTTCTATATTGAAGATAACAACATTCAGCAAAAGGTGATAATAATAATGTTCTCTACACCAAATTTTGGTTATAGCAGTCAGTATCAACGGAATACTAACCATCTGCACATGATTATAAATCTCTAGTATGTGCTAACACAGGTGATCATTCTATTTTATTATCCTAATAGTCCGATGGGAGATGACTATGTTGGATTACCATCCCATCAGAGGGAGATCAGGTGCAGAACCAACAGCTGAGAATTTCTTGACAGAGAAACTTAATTTATGTCCCGACCTGGGATTCAAACCCAGGCATTTACAACCACTAGACCAAGCAAGCAGTCAACAACGTTAGGTAATATGATGTCAAGGCTGTGGAGTTTCTTTCGTACTTTTTTATGCAGAGGAACCTGATATTTACACAGTAAAAGATCAAAAAACATGTTGATGTTTAAGAAATTTGAATACAAAATCTTGATTTTAATTAATTCTTTTTATTTCATTTCATAGAAAGTTTTAAGTTTTCATTTAATTTCATAATAGGAAAAGGGGCTATTCTTGAAACTAAATTATTTAATATTTACAAACAATTAGTGCAACTAAGGAACCAATAGTACACCTCGTGGTAAGATTCCTCATCCTCACCTGCATACTTAAATTGCCTTTCAGCCTGTAAATATACTGGTTCTCTCATTCTTCAGAACAATAATGAATATACTACTGCTTGGAAATAGAAAAAGATAAGAGTATACAATGCCTACCTAGATGGTTTCCTAAGACCCCTATGACATAATAAACAGTACATAACCAGGACCTTGGAATCAACTTAAAGGAAAATTAAATTTCCACAAAACACACACATTGGGCATGATTTTTTTACAAATACAATAATCAGCCTGATGTATAAGGCTGAATTTTTATTAAAAAAAAAACCCCGATGATGTGGATATAATTTACAAAAAAAATTCCAGTAGAAATTGTATTTCTGGAAAATTAGCCCATATGCCAGCATATGGGGAACTTTAGTATGGAACAATTATGTAAGGGAGAATATGGGAAACATGTTGCATATAAAATGCACTCTGCTGACCAATGAACAAATCCATACAAAACTGCCATGCCCCAAACCCATAGACTTTAATGGTGAATATGAGCACGCCAGAGAATTATATATGTAAAGATAACTTATCAACAAAATATGACCAGTATTCAGACACACCCCATGAATTATATAGAGAATTGCAATATATTAAATAATAGTTACTATACTAAGTTCCAATACAAGAAATTTCAGTGCAAGAAAAGAAATAAGTTAATGAGAAAAATATGGCAGGACAAAATATTTGATTACAACCATGGCCCTCCTGTAAGGAGAATTTGCCTGAAATTAATATTATACTACCCGTTTACTAGAATGTGCTATAATTTAAAAAAAAAATCTTTTGTATCAAAACAATTTAATGTTTTATAGTGTACATTATTTAAAAAGTAACCACATAATTTTGAAATTAGAATCTGTTAAATTTATAATAAATATAGGAGCATCTTTGTAACTGTCATATAAACTACAAAAATAAGCTCACAATTTCTAAATTGTTTGTAGTATTGTACCTACTAGAGAAATGTTAACAGATTTTGGGGAGTAGCCTTAAGGTTATTTTTTTTTATTTGAAAATAAAACCCTCTCGTTTTATTAAAGAGCAAAAATTGATGAACACATTAAAAGCAAATACATAACTAAGTAATCAGATAGTAATTATACGATGGAAAAAATTAAATTTTTTGAAATTCCATTTACGTTGCTTTGACATCCCTTCTTACATAACACTAAGTTTACGGTTTTCGGGCAAACTATGCTCTGAATAAATTTATTACAACTATTTTTAAAATAAAAACAATGTATTAAATTTATATTTAAGATAATTACTCACGATTATTTACTAAAATTTAGAAAGTCCTGGATCTGGATCGGTCGTAAACTCGATATCACAAGTAAAAACAGTCAATGTTGCCAGAAGAAAAGAATTTATTCCGGAAAAACGACAGAAGTTTTAGTTAAGTTCAGAAAAACTGGGATTTATTACTTAAAAGGTTTTAGATCAAATTCTGACGACCTTCTGGTTGATTTCAACCACGACCGAAAATGGTCAGAAGTTATCAATTACGCAAGATAAATATTAGTAACATAAATCTACGTGCCTTATGTATCTGAGCGTTACGCATGGCAACAAAATCTTAAACTCAGATTATATTAATGTAGAATATGCGAGTACAATCTATTTATCCAAACAAAAATCAGCAGTTTATATTTTTGCACAAAGGTTGGCCACGTAGTAACCACTAAGGGTTAACCACTAGGCCACGAAATCGTTTTGTTCGTTTTTTCGTTCAATCGTTATCCTTTATTCTATATCAAGATGGCCATGCAAAACTATAGTCTTTAGTAAAAAGGTATCAATTAGCATGAAGCAAATACAAAGCTAATTTATTAACGGATTTTTCGTATTAACTTATGAAACATATAGGTAATGAAACGATTTTATGCGTTTAATTAAAATTAGAAATAAATAAGTTGATGAAACTAGTTTTATTCAATGAGTAGTATTTGCGTAGGTAAATATATGAAATTAATAAGTTTCGTTCTTTACTGCTGAATACATCGATACGTGGAGCATCACTACGGCTTTCCATGAGACCCGCAAGCAGCAAGCACCTGCACCGCAAGTGAGACGCTAGACAAGTGAGAATCACGCTAAATGCAGCATCCTGCTCCCACGTCTCATTGCCCCGTGGGCTTGCTGTTCAACTAAGTGTTCAACACTAATATAGTATATACCGGCTTCTTAAAAGTTTCTTTGTCTAGGGAACAAATAATCAACTATAATACCTACTACCTATAACCTTAATGTAAACTTTTTAAAAAATGTACTGGCCACTGCAAGATGTAAATTAATGTAAGTTAAAAGTTAGAACTGCATTAAATAGTTGTTCGAAATTTAAAAAAATTAAATCAAAATGCCAAAGCTTTTCGAAATAAGGAGAGAAAACCTAATTCCCATTTATATGACTGTTCCGATATATACTAGGGCGGCACTGAAAATTTCAAGAATCAAGGAAGTGACACAACATTACTATTTAAAAATGTATTTATTGCTTTTCGAAGTATTCTCCGCGAAATTTGACACATTTTTCCATACGATGGAACCAATCATTGAAGCAACCATTCCATTCGGAAGTTGGGGTCTCCAAAATGGCCGTTTTGTAGGCGTCCACAGCTTCTTCAGGTGATGAAAATCTCTGTCCACGCAATTTATTCTTTATTTTAGGGAAAGTATAGAAATCATTAGGGCTTAGGTCGGGGCTGTACGGTGGATGGTCTAATAATTCTATGTTTTCTTGCTCTAAAAACTCTTTTGTTCTGTATGCGGTGTGAGAACTCGCATTGTCGTAATGGAGGATGATGCGGCGGTTGCAGTTCTCTTTACGGAGTTCAGAAACGACCTGTGGCAAACAAATGCTAGCATACCATTCTGCATTAACCGTTCTTTTTCCCTCAAGAGGAATAGTTGTAACATGGCCGGTTTTGGAGACAAACGTGGCCACCATTTTTTTTTGCAACACTCCGTGAACGAACAATTTTGTTGGCTTTAACTCATTTTCAAACACCCAAACTCGTGACTGGTTTTTTGTTTCGGGTTCGTACGCATATATCCAGGATTCGTCACCTGATACTATGTTATATACAGCATTTGAGGATCCTGCGTGGAATCTTTCGAGAGTTCTGACGCACCAAGTAACGCGAGCCGCTTTTTGCTCTTCACAGAGAGAATGCGGTATCCATCGGGAAAACAACTTTTTTACACCTAACTGTTCATGCAAGATTATTTGTATTTGACTCATACCAATGTCTAAAGTTGCCTGAATTTCGCGGTATGTCACATGTCGATCTTCCTCAATCAGCTTACGCACAGCATCAACGTTTTCTTGGGTGACTGCAGTTTTTGGACGACCTTGGGATCATCACTGAGCTTGACACGACCACGTTGAAATTCAGCAAACCAGCGATAAATTGTGGTTTTGAATGGGACTTCATCACCAAATGCAGAAATCATCCGGTCAACACACAGTTTTTGTGTTAAACCACTTTGAAAGTCATAATAAATCATCGCTCTTGAATTTTCTCGAGTCAGTTCCATTTTCTCAACGACTAAACAAGTTTGACAAAACCTTGTGACAAGACCGAGAATCTTTTTTTAAATAAATAAATGGTATTCGATTTTTAAAACCAAGGACTTTTCAATTAAAAAGATTTTAATATGACAGGAACAGTGGAAATATTCCATTCCCGATACTTTTAGTGCAGCCTCTGTACACTGTACAAAGGTACTCTGTGATACACCGTAACCACTGTAGGGTATATGACGTCAATTCAGTATACTGTGATACCGTTCCTTTTTTTTGTTCCTTTTTTGACACTGTTTTCAAATACAAATATTTATCATGTGCGCGTTTTCTGATCAACAAGAAAAATTATTATTTGTTGCTTCTACAACTTAATGTCCGAGTTTATTTGAATAACAATATTAATTAATAATAATTCGTGGAAGCTGTTAAATCTCTAGGCGCTGTTATGTTTTTTATCACGTGGTCAAAGTACTGAGAGCATCTTACCTTGAAAGCACCAGTGCTCACAGTACAAAAATGGCGACGATTTATGACGTCATACATTTCCCTAGGGTACTGCGGCAGTATACTGGCAGTATTTACGAATAAGAATTTTAACTAGTGAGAGAACTGAGCAGTGCTCGCAGTGTATATCGTAACATACCCCAA